GGAGGCTGCAGGAGCCTCGCGCTGCGTTTCATGGGTGGCTGCCCCTCGGCACAGGTTTTGTAGGCTTTGCCATCCAGGGGAACGATGAATACGGAGCCCTCCTTGAAGGTGAAGGGCTGCGTAGCAGGAGGGGTAGTCCCAGCGCAGGAGCGTCCCCCGGCCTCAGCCATCGCCACAGCCACCGCGGAAACCCTCTGCCATCTCCTGGCCACCTCCTAGCTGCGCTCTCTTGAGCTGGCTCTTCCTCTTGCATTTTGTTTCGCTTTTCTGTTCCAGGAAGAAAGAGGCATCTGGCTACAGTGAAGTGCCAGATGGGCACTAGATGACAGAGAAAAAAGAAGTTGAGGCTGAGGTTAAGAGAGGAGATGTGAAGCAAGCACAGGAAGCAGGGAGCACAAGCCACAGCCAGGAGGACACAGCATGTCCCCTGTCTGCACACACCAGCAAAGTGCCAGCTGCCCCCCCTGTCCCCGCTACAGCTGGAGAGTTGCCTAATTCAGTGTCACCTTCCAAAGCACCACACCTGTCCCAGCCATGACCATCCTGTGCCCCTCCTGGGATTTATCACATGCACCCATAGCTACCCTCGGTCAGTCAAGTTCATTTGCAGGCAGGACACATGTCTCTTCACCGTTCACTTCCCTGCAGTAATTCTAAGCGAACACCCTCCATTTATCACTACGCATCAGGAAGCAGAAGTAGTTACACTGATTTAAAGGAATCTGAATTCATCCAACTCTTTTCATAGCAGAAAATAAAGAAGTCTCATTTCTTTCTGGCCGTGCCTCCTCTTGGGGTTGATTTCACTTCCCCATCACCAGTTTTGCCAGCAAGCTGGGTGGAAGAGATGGAGGATGCAGCATTAGGGAAACTGAATGTTTTATGGGTCTGCAAAAGGTACCCTGCGACTCACAGGCTGACACGAGCTCAAACGCTTGCATCTCTTCTTGATTTTGTCTGAAACAGGAGAGGACCTGCTAGAGCAGACCATTGCTTTCACACACCCTCCCTCCTACTGCCCAGTCATTTCCCACTCGTTTCCTTCTCCTATGAGCAAAGCCTGGTCTTTCTTTCACTCTTTTATTCTGAGGAGCACCCTTGAGATGGGCTCAGGGCATAGAAAAAAAACACTACTCTCTGAACATGACTACGTTGGACATCGTACTGCTTTCTAATGGAAACGAGGGCTCCCACCGAAAAAAGGTCACAGGCAGCGTGACAGTGCTGTTCTGGTCATACTAGGAAAGGTCTAAGTAAAGCGTTTCTCAGCTACTTCAAGGCCGCCTTTGAAATAATGCACCCCAAATCAAGTAAAGGGTTAGAATTGAACTAAGCACCCTACTAAGGTCCCTTAAATTGTCTCATTTCCTACAACGACTACAGAACTGATCTAGACTGATAAGTAGTAACTTTGCACGGTCAACTCTGATTAGAGTTCTCACTTCTAAAACAGCAACGAGAAAGAGGAAGCAGTTTAAAATATTTGTTTGCAGGTTGTTGGTAAGTAGGCTTGGAGCAGCTTCCCCCTCCCCCAATCAAATAGCTTTCCAGAGTGCTTCAACGATACAAGGCTGCCGCAGGGACGCTCCGAGGTTCAGAAGAAGATGCGTGCAAAGAGGACAGTGTTTGACAGTGTTTCCCGGACGCTAAGATAGTTGCAGTTCTGTGGAAAGGCGAGAGCTGCTTCGCTGTGAGAGTCCGAGGATGTGAAATTCTGGAGGAGGTTTGTGCTAAGAAGAGGCACTGGAACGACCGAACGGGTTAGTCGCACCACAGACGAATCCCACGTGAGTCCCTTCACTCTCATGCGCCCTTCTGCACCTCGAGCCCAAGGTGGGAGCACTTCTGGCTATTCAGCATGGCCAACAGCAGCCTGGCGCTGAGCGGCCTGGATGGGTTCTACATTGGTATTGAGTCCTTGATTGCTTTGTTTGCCACTTTGGGCAACATCCTGGTGATCTGGACAGTGAAGGTGACCCCGGCTTTTCGGAACACCACCCTGTACTTCATCGGTTCCCTAGCCCTGGCCGACATCGCCGTCGGCACCCTCGTCGTGCCCCTGGCCATCGTGGTGAGCCTAGGGATCAGCATCCACTTCTACACCTGCCTGTTCATGTGCTGCCTGATGGTGATTTTTACCAACGCGTCCATCCTGTCCCTCCTGGCCATCGCAGTCGACAGGTACCTGAGAGTGAAGCTGCCCACCAGGTGAGCCATGCCGCCCCTCGTCCCTCCACCCTTCCCGCAGCCCTCCCCTGCCCCAGGTGCTACCTCCGCCCTCTCCTCCTTAACCCAGCCCTTTCCTAACACGGAGCTGCACTGTGCACGTGTTTGAGGATGAAGAAAACGCCTGTCTGCGATGAGCTGTCTAGAGCAGGGACCGTGTGCCTGTCCTGGCTCTGAACTTGTCTGCAGTTGTCCCGCAGCGCAGGCAGCGAGATCTGTTGGCACAATGCAAGTTGCCAGGGTTATTGCTCATTGGAGTTTGGCCACAGGATGGGACCATGGTCAAACAGCTTAAGTCTTCAGGCATTTTGCCAATTGGGCAATATGCTCAGAGAACTGATCTGAGTTTCTGAGTATAGTCATTTAAATATGATTTATATTTGCTTTGGCTGAAAATATGGAAGTAACAAAACCTTACTAAGGGCTAACTTTAGAAGATGCTCACGCTTTTCATATCTGAGAAGAAAAGTACATGCAGGCTAGAAAATCAAAGCATAACCTCAAACATGAAAGAGGATATATATATATTTTTTTTTAAATGTGAAAAGGATCTATAGATTGAAGAGTGAAAGAACAATGTGTTCTTATAAATAGATAAATGAAGTATAAAAGGTAAAGTACATCCAAAAAAGGTGAGAACTAACAGACAACTGCTAACAGTGGAAACACAAATAATACCCAGTCAAGAGGAGCACTGAGATCATAATAAAACAAAACACAAAATAGCTGAAAACAGACAAAATTACAAAAAAAAAAAAGAGAGAGAGAGAGGGAGGAAGTTAAGCATAGGTCATCTTATACAGATTCTGCAGAGTGACTGTTATGAATGAAGAATATGGCTCATCTCAAAATAAGTTCCCCCCCCACCCCAAGAAAAGGAAGTTAACATTCCAGTTCGCCTTAATGAACCTGCAATATTTGAACACTTGAGTTCTTGAAACTGTCTGCAACTATTCTAAACACTTTTGTATAACATGGCCTGGGTTTTATTCCCCAACAGATATAAAATAATCACTACGGGGAGAAGAATTTGGTTAGCACTGAGTTTGTGCTGGTTGCTGTCTCTGCTGGGAGGATTAGTCCCCATGTTTGGATGGAACAATACAGCACCCAGAAGCTCAGACTTGCACAAGTGTCAATTTCTCTCTGTGATGAGGATGGATTACCTGGTATATTTTGGCTTCTTCATGTGGACCCTTGTCCCTCTGACCATCATGTGTGCTCTATATGCCAAAATCTTTTACATCATTCGGACAAAGCTAAGTCAAGGTACAACCAACGTGAAAGCGGCAGGAGCATTTTATGGGCAGGAGTTCAAGACAGCCAAATCCCTAGGCCTTGTTCTCTTCCTGTTTGCAATATCCTGGTTGCCCCTGTACATTATAAACTGTATTTCCTATTTTTACCCCAAACATCAGATCCCCAAGTATTTGATTTACTTGGGAATCCTGTTGTCCCATGCCAACTCTGCCATGAACCCCGTTGTCTATGCTTGCAAGATAAAGAAGTTCAAAGACACATACCTTTTAATTTTGAAGACTTGTATGCTGTGCAAAAAAACAGATCCAGTTGTTCTTGCAGAGCAAAATACAGACTAACAGCCATAAAACAAGACTGAAGGCTGAACTGCCAGTATATACCAGACTGTTGATACAAAACTTTGCTTCATTAAGAAATTCATGGGAAAACGTGTTCTGCTTCATCTACTCACTCTTTTAGACAAACTGTTTTATGATAAGGGCAAGCTCCTCTTACTCAGTCTGATGCACATTTGACATTAAGCCCAAAAGGATCATTTATGATCTCCTGCACAAGTATACCCCAGAGAATTCTGCTCAGCGATTGCTGTACCAAGCCCAGATCTTCCAGGCAGGTATCTTCATTTCACAGGACCTTCTCTGGTTTATTTATTGCCTTGAGCGTTATTTGGTAGGCTGGTGACCCTGAGCACTGGTAACAAGGCAGAGATTTTTTGCTCCTAGTTCCCTACCTCAGATCTGTGTTTAGCTGGTAAAGACCAACGCTTGATACTTTTCTAATTTTAAGTAGAGACTGAGAAGTTTTTTTGCTATGGTCTGGGTTTCTCTTTCTAACCAGCTGTAGGCCCTTTGCTATCACACAGCCAAACTTGCCCCAACCCTTTGCTTCAGTGGTGCCTGCACATCTCATGAAACTATAGCATGTTTGTTCCTCTTGCACAACATATTCCCATGCTTAGTTTGCCCTATAACCACAAATTGTTTTCCTAACATTGGAATTAATTGTCATTTGCTGCAGCTGAGGGTCATCTGCCATATTCCAAACCTTTGTAAACCTGGTGAAAAGTTTCTTTTTGCAACAACCTGTTACAAAACTGAAGACTTATCTGAAAGTATACATACATATGTATTCATGCATATAATATATGTACACACACATACATATGTACATATATCCTTTTATTAAATCATTGCAAAATAGGAAAAAAAGATAGCCAAGACAAATTTTGTCCTTTTTTCCCCATAAGGATTGTTGGCTGTGTCCTCTGGAAAATAGGATAAATCCGTTTTCTTTGTTGTTAGTAATACAGCAGTTAGCAACCCAGGCATGTCCTCACTGACTAGTCTTACGCCTTTTGTCTTTCTGTCAATTTAGATAGCAAATTTCAGCCTTGTCAACTCATGCTGCAATCAGCACCGTCACTTTTTCCATGAAGGATAGTATTTGGGTTTATATGAATTAAACATCTTCTCTCTTAACAATCAAAAAAGCAGCCTGCATGAGACACCCCCCCTCCCCCCCGTGGCTTTAGTAGTTATCCTGATTAGAACAGCTTAGAAGTTACAGTAAATATTGCACCACAATTTGCACGATCTGTTTTTAGGGAACATAGGTCAAGCTGAAAATTGGTCATTAAAGGCAAGGATCTTTTTTAACTCCATTTTTAAATAATAAAAGTAGTCAAAAAAGACAAAAGAGGAGGGTCATTCTGCTTTATTTATCCCAGAAAGCAGTTAGAAGAAGTGTTGTCCTCTGCTCCTTTAAATAAGATCAGACATCTCAATTTGCTATCTGATGTGATCTTTGCCACAGAGTAAAACTCTACCCCGTTACACAGATCAACACTATTAATAAACAGGTCAGTAAAGGAAGTCACTGTGTAAGTACATCAGAATTTTGCTACATAATTTCCCCTGATCAGTTGAGGGAGCTGATTGCTTTCAGCAGAGAAAGAGGCCCCACCTAAACATTGGAAAATTATTCCTAAGAATGATGCACACCAAACTTTGCCCATGCATTTTTGAGAAAGCAAGAAAACAGGGAACAGCACAGCACTGACTTCCCAGCAGGCTGCCTGACAAACTCCAAGCAAACAAAACACGAGGCTACAAAAGAGAGCGGAGAAAAGAAGAAAAAAATAGAGAAGACTAAAAGCAGAGGAAGTTGCCCTACCTTCTGAAATGAAGCTGCAAGGGATGATAATCTCAGCAAACCAACCAAAGCTGCTCAGCCCCCCAGAGACGGGTGTTCCAGGTTACCTGCCCACCTTTTAATGAGGAAGTGAGGCACTCACCACTGCTGGAGCCCACCTCGCTTCTGTAAGGGTAATCAGAGGCACCCCAACCCTGCTGAGAAGGTGGCTCATTAGCTGGCTTCTGCCACAGGCTTGCAGTCTGTGCCTTTAACTCTGTCACTGAAAATTCCCATTTGCTCCCCAGGTGGTGGTGCTGGGTGGAGAATTTTCACGGAAGAGTAGGGTCCTGGTTCTCGCTTGTAGTAGTTAACCTGGAGACACCTTTGCCATTCAGCCCTAGACACAAACCACACAGGCTCACTGAGTAATGCTTAGACTGTACTGAAGATGAATGAAGTCACACACTCACTGTCCTTGTGTACAGATTTCACCGAGGAAGACCAAATGATTTAGTATGCTCCTGTGAGAGGTGACTGATGCAGACTCATCACTGACTGAGGGAAATGCAATCCAACAGTCATTACAGTGTCATCGCTCTAACAGTCCCTCTTTTTAACATTGCAACCAGATGATCAATTACAAAATGTCAGAGAATATCGTAGGACACCACCGTCCATACACCCTTCAAAGCACAGTTTGACCATGAGCCGTTTCCATCCACCTTCCCAAAGTCAAACAGTTTGTACTGAACTTTCTGCATTTTCATACCCAGGCACTTTACCCTGCAAATTCCTGCTGTACAAACCTGTCTCTAGAAAGCCCACAAATACACCAAAGTTTGAAAGCCCAGTTCTCAATACCTCTGACAGAAACCTACTGAATTATTGAAAACGTGAGAGCCAGAATAGAGAACCAGAGGACACATAAAAGCCTCTCTTATTCTGATTAGCAGACGCAGTTATCCCAAACATCTAGCAGTCTATAAAGCAAAGAACTAGCTGCTGGAAACAACACTAGGACAGCCCGTATATGACTTTATTCAACTTCAAATATAGTTTAACTATTATTTAAAAAAACAGATATAGCTATACAGAGCTCCTGGTGTGGGAAAGGGAGAGATGCTCTGGTATGAATCTGAGGCCAGTTAGCAGCCACACAACAAAGGGAAACGGAGTGCTGTTCAGACCCTCCAAAGCACCTGCCAAACACAGCTCAGAGTAGCCACAAGGTAGGAAGCTCCTTGTCAGCCCACGGTCTAGCAGGATGCAAAATTATTATCCTCTAGTTGGCAACACTTCCTCAAGTATGTGAAATGGTTGTGTTAAATCCTAGTGCAATTCACAGTGAAGAAACATCTCCAGGAAAAAGCCAACATCCTAGCTGGTCTCATTGTTAATAGCCTAAGGGGGCGAGGGGGGAGCCTGCAGTGAGTTACCTCTTCTTGCACTTATGTCCAACACAGGAATGCAGTGTGCTTATTTCTCAGTTGCTGTCAAGTAGCAATCAGGAACACTGTTATTAATTGTAAACTTAAAAAATAATTGTGACTCAACCACAATTGTCCCTCATGAACCCCTAAGTAGCTGCAAATTCAGAGAAGTAATACAGTATTTTCTCCATTAAATAGTGCTTTGAGAGGCTGCCATGATTGAGAAGAGAGCAGATTTAGCAACAAAGACTAAGTTCTATTCCCGGCCCTATAAACAGTCAGCAGCCTCACCCATAACACCTTTCAAGCCAGATTTTAAAGAGTAAAACACCCAGTTGGTACACCCGGTTTTCAGTGGTCCCCCAAACATCCATCAAATACTGAAGTCTAGAAGGCAGAACAGCTCCTGGCTGACTCAACAGAGGTGGAGCCAGTGCTCTGCTAACCGGCTGCTGGCAAAAATGACATATTAAATCTAAACTGAGCTAAGTAGAGCTGCCCATCTGTGACTTTTTGCTGCCATCAAGTGGACATTTAGTCTCCCTTGCCTGCGAGCTTCTCTCTAACACGTTACACGTATCAACTCCTGCTGGAGCACACAAGAAGTTGCGTGACCCAAGACATTTGCCCTGCATAAAGATTTCTCTGGAGAGTCAGCTACAATAGCACTTCAACAGTCTGAAACGTTTTCAAGAATCTGATGTTCTTGGGTGCCAGAAATAAGGAGGTTCCAGAACTTAAGGAGGGCTGAGGTGTGAGCTCTGTTTCAGCTCTTACAAGTATGTTGTATGATGGACAGAGCATTGAACTTCCTCAGACTCTGAACCCAAGCATGCAACATATGAATGCGCAAAGAAGCAAGGCTTCTCTATGGCTGCAAAGACCAAATCACCAGGAGTAACTTATTCCTTATCCTCTGAGAAGGGGATGATTTTTAACTTCTTCCAAAGTACTTAGAACGCCATGAACAAACGTTCTCACAAGTTTTGACTGTCACAGTATGGTCATGCATTTCAGCACATAGTAACACTTTAAAGGAGACAAAGTTGGGAGTTATTTTCCTGTGACCCACTCAGGAAACAGAAATTTGCATTAAAAGATTTTATTAACACAGCTTCATTGAGCAGAAAAATTAATCAGAGCACAGAGCACTTGGCAGTCAAAAAAAAAAAAAAAAAAAAGCTGCTATTAACCAAACAGGGAAACATAAGGGCACAGATATGTACAGACAGAAAAACATTTTCCTGCTTCAGTTCTGTTTCATAGTTCAAAGCAATAGCAGAAACACTAAAGGAACCATTACAAGTGCATTACAAGGACTCACTGACATTTCTACAGATGAAGAAATAAGGTATAGTGTTGGCAAATAGCTGAAGTAGAAGGCATTAACTCTCCCTTATAACCATAAAAACAGCTGATGTTACATACTGCAACGTTGGCACCATTTCTTAAAGCAACATATGCTTTGATACGACACCTCAGTAGCATTTCACATGCAGAAAGCAGAAGTGTCCTCATTTCACTAGAGGCCATATGCATTATCACACAGTCATCGGTGTCAGACTCTGGTGGAAGACCAGGCTGGTGTAGGTAACCTCATTCTGGGGCTGTAAGAGAAGCCGCAAGGATTAGAGAAGGTATGAATTTTTCAGTATAAATTTCCCACCTTTAATTCTGTTTTCAGTGCTACACACCATGAGCAGTCGCAGTCACAGCCTGTCCACGAACATGGGAAATCTAGGAAATGCTATGCTAGATCAGACAAACTGTTAGTCTAGCCCAGGATTTTGTGAAAACACTATTAGGGGCTTCCAAAGAATCAATTTCATCAAGGAAAAATCACAAAAGCCTGCCCTTTTCAAAAATCCCCTCTACTCTGCCTAATTAATGGTTTGGTTTAGCCCTAAAGCCCTTGGAATATGTGGGGAATGTGACATTTGAGCCCCTTAACAGAGTAAGAATATCTATCCTTCTGTCTAGCTGCTTCCTCAGAGCAATGCCCAGGACTACTACAAACACAGGCTGAAGCCTGGGATGCAAAAGAATAAGTGCTTTCAGCTTCAAAGGGTAAATAGTCAAAAGACCTGATGACTAGCACTTGAGTCTGCAAGAGCAAGTGAATTTTCTCACCTTCTAATTAGTTTTTGCCATTCTATCAAAAATTTGAAATCTCTGCATGAAGTATCAGAAATATAAGAACAGTTTTGACATTTACCTGGACGTTTTCAACAGATGCCTCACAGACTGTCTGAATGGAAGCTTGCTCCTGTAAATTTTCTTGGGGTCTCTTATGCTCTAGGAAGGAGAGAGAGGGATACCAATCTCAGCTGTCTACTTATGTGTTTGGAGACAGCAGTGCAAGAGGTGCAAAAGAGGTACAGTATAGTGGCACCAGCCAAAGGGCATATGGCTTACACACAGCTTGTAAGGTAAGAAAGCGGGGAGACAAAGAGGAATAGAGGAATATGGTGGATCAGTATCAGCTGGGTGGAAAAGGCAGGCAGCTTACCCTCATCAGCACTTTTTACTGTCACAACCTTATTTATTTAAAAGATAGCAAGTCTTTAGTCAACATAACCCCTCCCTGTGATGGCCA